ATCTTCCACCGAATCGATGACCGTATGGCGAGGTATATAACCGCCATTGATGACCCTACAATGGGTATGAAGATCGTGAAGACGACATGATGATTGTCCAATCTCATATGTGTTATCACATATGAGTTTGCGGGAGGGTATTGGGAGATATAGAGGTCGAGATCGACCGAGATTGAATGGCCAAGATGACCAACCAAGATTATGGAAATATTGTCAATATCGAAGATTAGGAAAGTTAATATTTGTGTATAAATATCAAATACGTAAAGAACTTGTTTGTTATTCTTTGTGACTCAAAATCTAATTGGGCCTGAGATACATCACGGGCCACACCAGAGTTTACATATGGGGTGGAGGGTGTAACTTAGGAAAATTTTCTTTGCCTTGTTGTATCGGGTTTGAGGCTTTTATAAATGGGTCATAAAGGGTTAAGAGAAGAACATTCACATAATCAATAAAACCCTAGACAAAGGGGTATTTGCCTAAATCGATTTCTCTCTTTTTTTGTTTATCGCTTCTTCATAGATCTTTCATAGGGTCGATATTCACAACATTGTTCAACAAGTTATATTCTTGTATAAATAGGCCTATTGACTAATCAATAAAATTGAGAGAAACTATTCTACTACTAAGGTTTTCTCCAAAATCTATCATGGTATCAGAACTTTCGATCCGAATTTCTATGGATTGTGGTTCTATTATCTTCCGCGTTTAAAAAAAAAAAATCTTCTTTGTTACCTCATTTTCCTAAATATAACTAATTTTTTTGTTATTTAGCTAATTTACTATAATCACGAAAGATGAAAGTGAGAGAGATTTTGGTGTTAATTTTTTTAGGGTAAAATTGGCAAATAACTTATTCATTTTATGTTGAATATATTAGATATTCAATTGACTAAATTGAAGTATTACTTTATGTTTTTTTTAGAGTTGTTATTCACCAAATTCATTCATTATAAAATAGGACTAGGGAGTTTAAACTTTAAAAAAAAATCTTCATTTTTCTAATCATTTTTTTATGTTTTTTATTTATTTAAACTTTTTCTTAAAATTAAATAATTTATGACTTTAGCTTAAATTTTCCAATCATGCTTTTATGTGGTTTTTTTTTTGTTTATAGTCATTTACACTAGAATTTAAAGTCCAATTTTTGCAGTCAAATTTGTGACCAACCAACTCATGAGCTGACAAAAAAAAAACACAATTATAGATTATGTCCTAATAAAAGTACGAATCTAAGACTGAAAAACTTGTTAAAGGCAGAGATGTCCATAGAGAGAATCTGCATTGTTCTTCTTCTTCGAGATGAGATCCTATTATGGCAAAGAGAAGAAGTTAGGTTTTCCATACGTTTTCATGGGG